CGGCGGCAGCGGCAGCCCCAAGGCGGGGGGTGGCCCCGGGGTGCGCACCGCCTTCACCGAGCTCCCCGAGCAAGTGCCCGACGCCATCTCCAACAAGAAGCGGTGCGTGAAGGTGCTGAAGCAGGAGCTGGGCGGGCTGGGCATCAGCATCAAGGGGGGCAAGGAGAACAAGATGCCCATCCTCATCAGCAAGATCTTCAAGGGGCTGGCGGCCGACCAGACCCAGGCCCTCTACGTGGGCGATGCCATCCTGGCCGTGAACGGGACGGACCTGCGGGACGCCACCCACGACGAGGCGGTGCAGGCGCTCAAGCGGGCGGGCAAGGAGGTGCTGCTGGAAGGTAAGGGGTTAAAAGGAGCCCGGCGGCTGTCCCCCTGCCCCAGGCCTTGCACACTGGGCAGTGGGTGAAGAGCAGGGGGAAAGACACAGGACTCCTGTGTGTCCCAACCACTCCCCTGCCCCTGTTAAAAACTCTCAGAGGGGTAGCTTTGTGAGTCTGCAACTTTAAAAAACAAGTGATCCTGTAGCACCTGAGAGACTAACAAATATATCGAGAGAGTATCATGAGCTTTGAGACACTGGCAGGGCAGGGTGGATCCTGCTGTCCATGGGACAGCAGTAGGTAAGGGGTTTTCACCCATGCAAAGTTGGGCCTTCTGGCTACCTGTTCTCTGGCGTGTTTATTGAGGGGGCAGGGGGAGTATATCCTCCCTGGAGTGCCCAGATCACAAACGCCAGGGCTGTGCGTGTCTGTGACTTGGAAGTAAAGAGTTAATTTGGTTTTACAAGCAGCGCTAAGATCCTTAGGCGTCCTGCTCAACTCGGAGCTTGTGAGAGGGGACAGCTTCCCCAAACAGATCGGATGGTAGGTTAGCGGAGAGATCCTCGCCTATGGCTAGGGAAAGCTAGGGGTTAATTTGACTAAAGAAACTCCGGGAACCCCAGCGCCAAGCTAAGGGCTTTGCAAGTTTCACTATGTGTATGTTAAAAAAAATAAAAAAAAGGGAGGAGGAGGAAAGCCAGGTCACAAACTACAGTACAATGCAAACCTGAACGGGACATAAAGAAACTACCTGCACTTCCCTGGGCACAAGGTTGAGAGATTTTAAACTCTTGTCAAGGGGGAGGGAAAAAAAGTGACAGAACTGCCTGAACTACTGAGATAGTCCACATTTTGACATTTGGTAGTGTGTTAAGTGACAATTATCTGCAGGATCTCCAGCCTGGGGCTTTGCAGCCCTTTCTGCAAAGAGACATAGTTAGCAAACCCTTCCTAAACAGCTCCGATAATCCAAGACAGTGTTTGCCATGTTGTGTTTGACTAACAAAGGCACAAAAAAAGCAGACTTCAAATCCAGAAGGCAGAGAGAGAGTTTGGCTATTACTTTTGCTCTGCAAAAAGGCAAGAGAAACAAGCAGATCACATCACATAGGGCTATGGCAACTCTGTGATTTGAAATGACTGAAATTTACACATACACACCCTTCTTAGTTCATCCCAGGAGAGAAGGGGAACAGATGTGATAGAAATTGGCAAATATCTCATTGAATCGTTTGTAGGGGAAAAAACCACAGACTGCGGTGAGATGATCTTTTAGAAGCCACCTTAAAAATGGAATGCAAAAGAAGCGAGTCTTTGAGGGTTTTGGCACAGACTGTATGAAAAAAGAGCAAAAAAGAAGAGAGAATAAGTTAAAGACCGGAAAGAAAGTTCCATTGATCTCAAGATTTTTGGGGGGAGGGTAGTTGAAGAGTCTTTTCCAGGCGAGTTAATTTAGTTGCTAGACCTGAGAAAAGGATCAGCAGAAACAAATATGCCTATTGCGTGTTAAACAGAAAATGCCCTTGGTATGCATGTGTGTGTTTGATAAAGTGCCTATTTGTACATAAGTTCATTTAACCAGCAGTTCTTGACCTTTGAGTCATTAACATTTGTGGAGCGAGGTGGTGAACCTGCTGCTATTCCACGTCTCCTATCTTAGTTTGAAATGGATTTGTTCAGTCATTTGCAGCCTGTTCGTCCTCTGGTTCTACTAAACAACAGCACAGTTTCTGATTTGCCTCTCTTGAGTCACTGAAAAATGGTAACACTTCTTGGAGGAGCTGTGGGAGCCAGTGCTAAGAATTATGGGATGCATTTGTGGATCAGTTGTAAATACCTGAATATAGGCTTGCGATATGGAAAGGGGATGAGAATCCTTGGTTTAAAACCTTATAGCGTCTGTGGGGTGAAACACAAGGCATTTCAGATTACTCTGGCTGTGAAAGTGAGGAGCTGATCAACTTTGCATCTTATAACAAGGGGACCTTGTCACCCAGAAGAAATTAAATATTTCTGAATTGTTGGGTTCCTGTTTGTCAGGGTGTTATCTAATTGTCCCCTTTCTTTACCCAGCAGTGAAATAGATCACAAAGGTGTACTAGGTCAGAGAGCAGAAAGGGAGACACTACTGTGGCCGAATTCCATCTTTAGTGATAGATTACAGCTGTGTGGTCCTACCTATGGACAGAATTTGACCTTTGGTGTTGTCTAATGATTAACATAGCAAATACTGTGTAATTTTCTTAACTATTTTCCCCTATGCAGCCCCTATACACAAAACTGGACATGCAGGTGTGCAACACTTATAAAAAGTCAGTGTTGTTCCCTATAGGAGCAAAGACCAGGGACTCAGTCTGCTCCATTCTCCTTTTTAAAGCCTTATTGCAGCAGCTGCCTTTCGCTCTTTCCTCCCCTGAAGTGAGTGCAGATACCTTATTTCTATAATAGAATAGCAATGCATTTTAATGTCACCCCAAAGGATGACTGATGCTGAAATACTTACATTGGGCCAGGTCCCCTGGAGCAGCTGAAATCAGAATCTCCCACAGTGTCTCCCAGAACCCACTATTCAGGTTAGCAAGGAATCAGCGAAGGACTTGTTCAAACAGATAGCTTAGGACAGTTTTATCAGAGCTAGTATCCCACTTTGAAGATCACTCTTTAAAGATACCATATAAAACATCCCTTTTATGACTGAAGCAAGGAAAATCAAAGGTGCTTGAAAACTTTTGGTTTTAGTTTTGAAAAAGGCTGACACAGCTGGACTGATCCTGCTTAGCTAGTGCAGTCCATGGGGGGAGGGGTTGCTGTTTGTGGGAACTGGATTATGCCCTCTGTGATTTACCTTACCTTCCTAGAGAGTTCTGTATTAAAAACAGCAAGCTCGCTGCAGGAAAAACACACAGGTATGCAAGAGATGATCCTCCCAGAATTCTCTCCCATTAAAAACAATTGGCAGAGCAAAGGAACATTGCTGGCTGCTGTGCCAATACATTAGTTCTTGTGTCTTGAAACGTTACGCTTCTGTTGGGGAAATAATGGAACTTACTCAACCCTGCTGGGCAACAGTATCTGCAGGGGCAAGTTCAGTGCAGTGGCGTTCTAATGGCCTGATCATGAAAGGTGCTGAGTGCTTTCTGCTCCTAATTTGAAGTGGGTGAGGCTTGCGGGCACCCAGCATTTCACAGTAGTGGGACTCTCATTTTGTAAGATGTCCTCCACAGAGACACTGCAAAAATGCTTGACCAGCTATATGGTACATTTGCTAAGTGAGAGCCAAATTGTGGCCCATCCTGCATGCCGACACAAGGGCTTAAGGAGATAGAAGGTACCTCCTTATTCCCCCAGCTTGCCACCTGAATCATGGGTACTAACACGAGAGAGAGAGCTGCGTATATGGGGCGGGCTCCTGCTTCCTCTCCTGCATGGATGTAGGGAATGCGGGGTGCAATCGTGATGGGCCTTAGCTGTAACCCTTTCTCCCCAACTGCATCAGCTAACATTTCGGGGCTGGTGGAAGGGGATGTCACCTGCACCAGTATAGGGAAAGCACAGCATATTTCTGCTTGGGCAGCAGAACTGTGTGCTGCAACTTGCTCAGGATTTCTGGCACATGCCCAATCTCTAACTCTTCTAACAGGAAAGCAAACAAGGCCAATTTATAGTGTATGATTAACATAGATATTTGTGTAACCTACTGGTCAGTATGTGCTGTGTCCCCCTCTGCCCAATCCCCAGAGGATGAGAGTCTGTTACAGAAATCTGAAAACAAAGTAATTGAGGCAGAGAGGATCCTGTTTTCCTGAGCTTTACGTGGAAGGTGCTCGCATCCAGTGGTTAAAACAGCTTGGAAAAAGAAGGGGAGCTGTTCCTGACTAGCCAAGGATGGGGTAGAGCTGTAGGGTATGCGGCCAGGGAGAAGAGGGACAGCTCTGCTGTGACCTGCCCTGTGGAGGGGAAGCTGTGTTTTCTTCTGAGCCTGTTTACTAGATGTACAAAAAGAAACTCGTGATGGAGAGTGGGGGAACAGGCCAGTGAGTAGAGGGAGTGTGGATTGCGCAGGAGCTGAGCTTGGATTGTCATCCTCACATTCATGTTTGACCATATATATATTGTATGATTAAATACTGCACTTAGATGCTGTTTAGATGGGAGACTAGAATATCTCCATATAAAATATGAACTGTTTAGCTATAGGCCTGGAGTGCTGCCCCAGTATAGTAATAGCTATTGCTTAAAAAAACTGTGTGTATATAATTTATATTTTCCTCCATTTCCGTTAAATTAGGTCCCCTTACAGTAGACACCAGAGAAATCCTATTGATCTCCAAGACTGTGAAGTGAGAGGTACTTATATGCAAGCAGAGCAAGAAAAGTTTTTTGAATCAAAAGAGTATTAAAAAGCATATAAGAATGATCACTACACCATGGTACTTTCGCTAAGTACGAATGGGCCAAACAGACTGTATTGTACAGATTCCCTTTTTAGAGTCCTACAATAATGTTAAAAACAAAACATAATCTATGCTGATTTCAGGCAGGATTGCTTCTTTTTGCTAATTCATTTGGGCTGAGGTAAAAATAAGATAACCAATGTATGTGTTTATGTCATATGGATTTGGATATGCCTCTGAAACCTATCACTTTATAACATGCTGGTATGGAGGTGGACATGATGAGGATGAGCGAGCAGTAGAGCATTATGCACAGAATGGATCTTCACTGGGGTTCCTACTGTTTGTAATGTGTTCCACTCAGTGTTTTTTGTGATTCTCCATTAGACTAGAATTATAGTAATATAAGAGCAATTTGCTGTTCCTCAGTGTGAGTGAAAGCATATTGTTGCTTTCTATTGTAATGCTGTATAATATTTCCCCAGCAGTGTTCATATACAGCATTTCTAGGAGTTGGAAATACTGACCTCACATATATTTAAAAAGTAAGCTGAAGGAACATGTGGAAAACAGCTACTATAATAAATTTCCATTTTCTTAATTTTTTGAAAAAAGCAAAATAAT